GGGGGGGGGGGGGGGGGGGGAACGCGATTGCGAACGGAACGGGGAGTGACTTGGCACAGCGACGGCGGAACTAATGTTGCTGGATGAAAGCCTCATAGCGCGAAACTCTGTCAGTTGGTGCAACTACGTCGCACAGCGCAATCGTGCCTTTCTCATTACGCGGATCCCGTGCTTTTCTTCCGGGCTATTAAATCTGGAACCCTCGAAGGAGGGCCTTCGAGAAGACGCGCCGATCCTCGCCTTTGATTCGCGACGCGAACATTGTCGGAAAAAGAAGGTCTGATCGCGCCTGGTTAATTCGATGGTAATGACGGCCGGTTGATGAAAAAGATCCCTAAAGGAGGAAAGAATCCCTTCTAGCGATCGCGATCGAAACTATCGATCATCGGCTTTGATACCGGCTACTGTTCGTTGGCATGAGTTAGTGAGTTAGTGAGTGAGTAAGTGAGTGCTCCGGAAACTTCTTTCAAGTTCTTAGTTGAAGAGTGAAACTTGTTGTCCCGTGCGATAGAGAAGAGGCATTCGATGGAGCGACAGAGGGAGCACCGTAGAGCGTAAGGTCAAATTGTATATTTTAATTGACGAGAGAGAGAGAGAGATATATATATATATATTCTTCGCTGAATTCTATGAAGTAATTAGCTAAAGCGGGAAGAGTTCGCGGAAATTCTTATATTTCGCGTTCTCCGTCCAGGAGACGACTTCTACCTGCTTTTTCCGCGAGAGAATGGCGAAGGATAGGTGGCGCAGTTCCCGACGACTTCGCTCTTAATTGCGATTTAGATCATTTCCGACGTCGTAGTCTCATCGTAGCGGAATATTCAACCACGGTAGTCTCATTGCCGTAAGTTGCCCCCCCCCCCCTCTCTCTCTCTCTCTGTTTCGCGCGCATATGTTTAATGTAACAGATATACCACGTGCGTTGGCACACGGGAGAGAATTGCTCGAAGGGCACGTCTGGCTCCGACTATCAAATACCTGCTTCGCCGACGCTTTTCCTACGTTATCGAGCATCAGAACGCCGCTTTTTAATTACTCGGGAATCTTCGGCCTCAATCTACGGCGAGATGACTGGTTCCCCGATCTCAATCTCCCAATCTCTCTCAATTCTCGGTCCCCCAATCGTTACTTTGATATACCGGTTTCGCGGTCACCGCGCCGTCACAAAGCACGTTTGGCTGTGATCAATGATGCGTGTCAGCGTGCGGTCCGGCGGATTTTCATTTCGAACTGCGAATTCGAGTGATAACAGACAAAACTTCCCGTGCAATTTATAATTCATAAACGACGAATCGATCTCGATAGCTTCACGCGCGCCGCGTTCGCGTCGGGATTTATTCGAGCGGAATTCCCCTCCTCACCTGGTGAAGAATCTTAACTTCTCGTACTTCTTCTTCCTCCTCACTTTAATCGCTTATTCGAAAATTCATTGGCTTTTGTCGAACACGTCACTCCGTGCGACGGGAGAATTTGCTCGCACGCTCCGTCGAACCTTTCCCAAAGTTTTTGGGATGTTACGCGCGGATTAGGGGGCGCATTCTCCCCGAAATCGTTGAGCGAGGATCCCGAAATGCGCGCGACGGGACGAAGAAGGATTGGATTAATCACGCCGCGATGTTAAACCGCGATTTGACTAGGCGGCTCTCCGTTTGTTCTCCGTGCCCGGTGTTAAGGTGCCAACGCTTGAAAGATGGGGTTTATCTGGGCCGGCTGGTGCGCAGCGATACGTCGCTATTCGCGATTAGCGGATAGATGTGCACATATCGTTGGGATTCGCGCGAACGGAGCGAGAGGAGCGACGGAAAGTGTCGCGCGATATTGTGCAGGCCGGCCGTGAATGCCATTCAATTTACTCGAACGCCGGGTAATCGGGTTTGCGAATCAAGACGAATGAGCTCTCTTCCGGCTTCGTCATTCGAGCGGGAATGGAGGAACCGGATGACCATGAAGATGAAACTCGGCTCGTCTGTGATATTCGGTTCTGCTGTTTCGCCTGTTCCGAATATCGCGGCTGCCGGTCGAAATAAAACCGAGCGAATCTCATTTCGCGCGGGTAACAATGTAAGCGTAACGAACGAAACCTTGAAACTTGTTTACACGCCGATGATGGCTCGACTTTTATAACCGAAACGGGGCTTGCTCGTTAGTAACGTGCGGGTTTATTCGAGTATTCTTCTTAACGAAAGAGTTTCCTCGCGCAACACAACGCCAAAGTTAAAATTTCATACCGGCCAGGGAATACCGAACACGATTTCTCGCGCAGGGCTAATCATGATGTGGTGTTCGTTATCGATTATCGTTGCACCACAGCCGAGCGACTTGGATGTTCCGGGACTTTAATGTTCGCGCTTGTTCGCGAGTCTATTCTTCCGGCGTATTCCCATTTTCGCGTGACAATGGAGCTTTCTTCCGTCAAATATTTTGCTTTCGTTCCGCGGGCAACAGACACACCCGTCTCTCTCGGTCAGGCACGTCGTGCACGACGACAGTACAGAATGACGTACTCTGTCATTCGTCGACTGCACCCGAGCTGCGGCTAATTTTCAACTGTACGTCACGCGAATGCTTTATGCGACAGCCGCGTTGCCGGGGAATATCGTGAATTTTCTATTTCCCCTGTCGCGCTGTCTCCCTCTTTCCCGCCTCGCGTCCGTTTGTTCGTACAATTGCGTTTACTTTCCCCCGGTTGCACCCCGGCAAAGTCTACCTCCTCCCGTAGAACTGCTTTCGAAAGAAAAGACGACGTTACCGATTACCGTAACAAATAAGGTCGACTCGTACGTGAGCGGGATACTGCACATACGTGGCGACACTGGCCGGCAAATGCAGATTCGATAAGAGCAGAGAGAAGACCGCAGCGAAGCGAGATTGAATGCGGTCGTAACTGCTGGCCCAATGGCCTCTGACAGATACGTATCGCGTTTTGTGCGCGAAATGGTGCGAAGAGAAATATTTAATTACAGGATATCGCTCAAAAAGCGAGAGAGAAAGCGGGAAAGGTCGTGGACTAACAACGTGCTGGCATCCGGCCTATAAATGTATACTTATCGGGCCGTATAAAAAATGATTAATGACATAATTCGCGGAAGCGATTATTCATTGATTATTAATTGTTAGTTATACGATAATAATAGTGATTATCATTATTGTTATTATTGTTATTATGAATTAACACGAGTGAGTAATGAAGAGAAATGTGTGTCAGAACTGCATAGCAAATTTTACACACTCGACGAATTAAGTTAGTCACTTGTGAAGCGCAAGCCGAGCCGAGGCAAATTTTACTTCCTACAGAGTAGAATATTATCAACGGTCGTAAATCGCGTGATTTTCTGATGAAATCATACAATCCGAAGAAATTACCTGTTCTAAAGAAATCTTCCGACGAATGATATATCTTTTTCGCTGTTTTATTCGCAAGTTGGCGAAAAACCTTTCTCACATTCGAATGAAAAAGGTTCTTCGAGCGAGCCTTGTCCGAGAGAGGAATTATTTGTCATTCGCGAACAGTAGTCACTCTTGTGGTGGCAACTCGGGAAAGAATTCGTTCGTACATGAATCTATCAGAATTTTTATTTTCAATGAAATTTATTCGAGAATAACGGAAATCCAGACTCGGCAGGCGGAATATCCGAAGTATCCAGAGACTAGCGCGTAAATCCAAATGCATATCTGAATATATGGGCTGTCGGGGATGTTCTGTAGAGCGCAATTGTGACTCAATGGAGATTCATTCGCGACCGCGAGAACCGTAAACGGAAAATCATTGTAAAAAATACTTCAACCCGCCCGCCCGCGGTATCGATCGCCACATCGCGAGAGAGCGATCCTCCCTTCATCCTGCGTAGGTCGCGCAGGTCATTCGATTTTTTCAGCATCAATGGGACGTATTAATTTTCCACCACTCTGTCGTATTCAGCAATCTGATTTTCAATACTCATCTCCACGCTCGTCTCCGTCTTCCCCCTTGACGCGACTGGTATTTCGTCCGAAGGAGGTGGTCGTTAACCGTCCGTCGCGACATTTCTTCTCGAGATCATCGAAGAGCAACAACGTCGCGCCTCGAGCATGTTCAAGCATCTCGTCTTTATCTTTGTGCTGCTCTCGCATGGGATTCCAGGATATTCGATCAGTTATTATCCAAGTGGGAGTGAGCAAGTTAAGAATCTCCAAAGGTCGGTGGACACGAATCCCAATTGCAGCGCGATCGCAGGTATATGTGTGTATATATATATATATATATATATATATATATATATATATATATCTTTATCCGATAATACCGAATTCGCGAGTTTTCTGAAATACGTGGAAGACACGTTTTCCGACTGTCTTTGAATCTCTCGTTGCTTCTTCTCTCGCCCTAACACACACGTTACACAATCAATGCTCATATTTTCCTCGATTTTATCGCGAGTGTTCAGTCTTTCAGTTTGCGGTGCTTCGTATTTAGACGCACTTTTCCTCGTGAACATCGAACGAACGAAATTATCGGTTATCACGGTTATCACAGACGCGCGAAGCTTAGGACTTTCCTGTGATTCACTCATCTCTCCTCTAATGAGGAAATATACAGGAAGATATATCGCTTTTAGAGAGACGAAGACGCGTAACGTTTCTTGTCGCTTTTCCTCCTTCACCGTTCTCCGAAAAGATACTAAAGTAACCATCGATCCTTCCATTAGAGGAGATGAGCAAGATGGTTGCGATGAGCGGGAAAAGTAATTACTATGTGCGCCCACGTGGTATGCTCTTTTACGTCCACGACGAGCCGCAATTCCAGAAATTACTTCCGGTTTATAAGCACAAGGAAATCATCGAGAAAGGCTATCTCGTCACGCCCAATATAGGAGCCCACAAGTTTCATCCTCGCAAAATCTCATGGAACAACGCCCGTAAAGCGTGTAACAGCGAAGGAGGTAAAGAAAATTACTCGCGAAACGCCTCTAACATAGCACCATTGTCGTCATTATTATTATCGATCATTAAAGTTTCAACCGGAACGCATCACGCAGTCGCGCATCAGAATAATTCACTCGGTGTGTCTCAATCGCCGCCGAGATTCATCCGACGCATATCTCTTAATATGTGACGCAAACGAACAATGATGAAACCGTCGACCAGATGAACTTTTATTATGTTTTGCACGCGATCAGGTCATTTGGCGATTATCAATTCTGCTTTTGAGGAGAAGATTCTCATGTGCATGTTGCAAGAGAGGAATATTAACGAAGCCTGGGTCGGATTACACGATATTTTCGAGGAAGGTGACTGGGTCACTGTCACCGACGAGGCTTTCGAAAACACCGGATACACATGGACGCCCACTATCGCAAATCTGCCTGACAACTACGGTGGCTCGCAGAATTGCGGTGTGATTCTAAAGGAGGGCGGCCTGGACGATGTAAATTGTGCGTGGACGCATTCCTTCTTCTGCGAGATAACCTTGTAAACCCGGCAGGATATCAGAGATTGATCGCGGCGTTTCACCATCTCTGATCGTTGTTTATGCGCATTTATAACAGTGTATGTAAATAATTAATGAGTATGTGTGTGCCATGTATTCTCTCGATTCACGAACGATAAGAGATGCCTTTTTAAGGATTCGCTTTTATGGACGTCGGTCCACACCGGGACGATTACATGGCGATGTTGGAAACTTCTTCTCTATCTTGCGTCCCCCTCCTCTTTCCCATGTACGTCCGGAAGGGGGGGAGGAAGGGCTGGTTTAAACCGCTTTGAGAGAATCCGCTTGTGTAGGACACAACGTGGGGATATAGAGAGATCCGGGGGAAAACCGAGTGAAGTCCGAATATCGCGGCTCTCAGTCCTGGGATGATTCGATGAGATTCAATGAAATCGACTCCGCCAACGCGAATAACAAGCCGTCTCACCGGGACGAGATCGCGTTCTCGATTGATCCGATCTACTAACTTTCGTACGAAGAACACTTCGAGCGCATTTCCGCAACTAACCCCGGCAATTAAAGCCGGCATTCATAGTTCGATCTTATATTTAACATCGCCTCAAGTTCATCTTTGGGTGATCCGTAAGCGATGAAACGATCATTACAGCATCTGAAAGTGGTTCCTGCCTTTACCAAAAATTATTACTGGCTGTGATAATTTGGCCGATGATAAATTACTGTTACTTAGTAATTTTATTGCTCGTACGAGCAATAGAACTACTCTTTATTATTGGTCAATTTATCATAGCTAGTAATACTTTTCTGTACAGATGTTTCCTTGCCGTTGCTATTTTGACTAACTTGACGTCAAAAGCAAAAAATATGTGTATCCAAGATTCTTGCGAAATACGTTAAAATAAAAAGATACGTCCTCACTGCAAGAAGAAAGAGTTACATTCAAGTAATATTTACTTAATCCAAGTAAAACAATTCAATACTCCTTAGCAAACACTACTTGAATGCGGTATTTTTTTTCTCTCAGCGCATAAAATGATATTTGTGACTGGCCGAAAATATTTGTCAAACATTCCGAAAACTTTTCTTTTACTCTGCAATCAATCAATAGCCGTAAAATGAACTCGATAAAATCCTGAGCAGATATAAACTAGAAGGAAGGTGGCATATCATGTTGATTTTGTTTATTGATTGTTAGAGCAAAAGGAGGAAAATATTGAGAATATTTTACAAATTTCTCAATCGATCACATGTGTCATTTTGTGGGCGTATTCTTTGACTACAGCATATTTTACAAGAATTTCGAGTATGCCTTTCCTCGCTACCGACGTCATCAGACAAGACGACTGCAGCGAAGAACCGGGAGCCTTAAATGTAAGATCCGACTGTGAATACCGCTTTCCGAAACTCGCGAAGGGTTCACGACGTTGGCTAGTTAGCTACGCGAATTAGATTCCGCTGATGTCTCCTGTAGGATTACGTCCGTCCTGGAAATCTACTTAATCATCCGACAGCGCCAGGTGATGGAAACCGGAAACATATCAGTGTTCAGGATCCTCAAGTGGTCGATCGAGTTGAACAGTTGGGGCTTCGAGATCAAGCCTCGGACTTTGTCTCTCTTCGATAATCTCAGAAATTGACAGATCGGTCCTGTTAGGTCCAGATCGGTACTGAAGCGGTATCTTTCGAGCCGATCGTACTGCAAACTGAGACGGTGCCTCGTTTGTGCTGTGCTCGCTGCACAGCTTGCTCGCGCGAATTCGAACGCGAACCCTTGCTGTGACTTCCAATCGCGAGTATTGGGAGTATCGCGGATCTGCGATGTAGTCGGACGCTGTAGATGCTTCTTGTGCTTCGGACGACTCCATATTTCCGCGACTCGGGTCGTCATGCAGGCATACTACCTAGCCATTTCGGCCGCCGTTTTTGTCATGGCGAGGCACTGCGATAAGTTCGAGCCCGCGAGCGCCGCGAAAAGCATGAAATGCGTAATATTCAGCCACAAAGGGAAGATTTTTCGGAGGAACTTGAACAGACGAATCGATTTTCCTCTCCCGTACGGCGAAGCGGATCCGAAATACATTGGAACCGTAATTCACGTGATGCCGAAGGTCGTTCGAGATCATTCTTAACAAACCGAAATTTCACCAACCCGCGGAATCTCTGATTCGAAAAAATTTTAATCCTGCCTTGAAGTTACAAATGCTCCCGATGTTTCGATTATTAAATTCAGATGAGTATTCAAAGGCACCAATTTTGACTCTCTAAACAATCGAAAATCGGAAATTTTAGACATCATCATGGTCAGATTAGTAGCGAACTACATAATTGAACTTATTTTTCACTATCTTAGTTTCTATCATGTTGTAGAACGTAAGGTATTGTAATGATTGGTTCGTCAAACCATTTTCGTAGGAATCTTTTTAAATTTTAATTGCATATTGATGGAAATGTCTTCACTTACCACCCTATATGCACTATCTATATGTCTGTAAAGTTAGGAAATGATTAATCATACGGAAGTTCAGATATTTGCAACAGAAAGTGACAATATTTATATATGTTTTTTAAAGTTACATATATGTATATATATGCGTGCGTGTGTGTAATATCCTATTTTTTTAGTTTCTATTTTTAATTTTTTTTAAACCACATTTAGGATTTTACCAAAAAACTATTATGACACTAAGAACTAACATAGAAGCATTATATAAAAATTAAAAAATTGT